TAAATACAAAAACGAGGTATTAAGCACATACAAAATTGACTTATTCACGTGACATAAGAATGACTGGGTACGGGAAATAAGTAAAAACATTGCAGTACACTCCTAGCTGAACCGAGTTTTCTCGCCTTAGGCCAAGGCTTTATTTGTGGCAGACAATGGGAATTCCGGTGACAGATCAAGTTCAACCCTCTATTGACTGGATGCCTGCGCTCAGGTGTGAACGTAACAACCTTCGTGGGATCCTAATTCTCCAGATATCAAATACCTCTTGTACACTGGCGTTTCGCATCGTGATAATGGCGAGTAAATGAACTTGCGGTCTACCAGAAGGAAATTTACAGGGAACTACTCATCACGAGCACTGATTCTAGTATGCAATCTTCCGGGTTTGTTGGTGGTACGAAAAAGCATCCTTTGAGTATCCCAACCTTCTTGGAAACCATTATCAATGTGCACCTGATTCTTCTTTGGAACGAATCGAGCTCCTCACCTTCAGGATACTATTTACAGAGTATATCATTCGGCAATGAGCGACTGATTAGCGGCATGACGAAATCACTCTTAAACGGGATATAGCACTACTCATCCTTCACTCAGACAATTCGCAACTTCGGTCACCTGTTGACTGGCACCTTGGATGACGACTTTTCCGATGAAAGACTCAAACAAGGTCCATTTCTTAGATTACTTACAGTTTAACAATAGAGGTCAGTGGTCACATAGTGTTGGAGCAAGGATGTGAACAACAAGCGACTGAACTCTGTTTCATGCACCTGATGTGATGAAGCCAGGACGAAATGTGCAGCCAATTCCTTTTCCAGCCTCAACGTTATAGTTCAATTTCCCTTGTATGAGAAACAAAGAAACAACCCTATGAATCGATGAACAGCTTGCATTCGCAATACATTCCTTGGAAGCAAGTTCTGATCAGACGAAGGGCTTATAGTTCTGTACAGAAAGAACTGGTACGGTCAACTCTATTAGGTACACTTACCGGAGGAGGATAGACAAGTTGCTTGAGTCGGTTGATGACCCAGTCGAAAACGGGATTTGAATCTGTGGTCATGGACTCAAAATTCAACACGGGCATGCCGTTTGAGTTGGCGTTGACATTGTCCGTCCGCCAGTCAATACTTTGAGAAACTGTCAGCTGCGTGGCTGCATCAGGAAGAGGTTGAGTCTCCATCCTTCCCACCTGAGTAATACTCCACTCGCCACGAAGGTTCTGAATGTAAATAACATGATCTTCATCAAAATAGTTCGATTTGATGGTGAGAATACTGGACACAAAAAACAAGTGGTCATCTTAAAGTCTCTCGTGATTGCTCAACATTTCTGATGGCTTATCCCTCATGTGCTGAGCAAAACTTTTCTCAGTTGTCTCCTTAGACCAATGAAGAATTCCGAACGCTTGCTTGAGGTAAGTATTGAACTGTGTGAGACGATTACACGAAATCCACAGACAACCCATCAGCGCTCTTGCCCTGTTTGAGGTTGATCAGGTAGGTATAGACGTCGGAACCTGAGATACTTAGTTTTTGACTTAAAAAGAACTTTTTCTGAATGTTTACTTTGAC